TGATTTTGAAAGTTAAAAATGTTACATATTGAAGATGACGGTGAGACATTTGTGTTGCTGCTATATGCTAATTTTTCGCTGGCAACAGTTCAGGCACATTTATCAGTGCATCAGGAGACAAATCTGGCATTTTAGACATGTTAGAGAGGAAAATTGCTAGAGTTACAATGATTCCAAGGAGCCATGGGGAAGTATGTCTCTTTCCTAAGTATTTTTTGTGACTTTCCACAGCACTGTAAGTGTTCATGTATGAGTAAAGCCGGAATGCTGTCACAATTTTGCAGAAATTCAATATATTGAAGTATGAGGTTGGCCAGAAATATGATTCTCATTACGATGCGTTCAACCCAGATGAATACGGCATTGTTAAGAGCCAAAGGGTATATTAAGTTCTTAATCAGCACAACTTGTCAAACACTTTGTATGTTTTCATAGGAATATGCAAGTATAAATTTATCATGTTATTCCAGCAATTCCTTTGTATGCAGGATCTCTCTGATGAGTATTCATTCTATATGGAAAACATTTGGAGGCAATTTGTGTAACTTGCTCATTCTTTTCTGAATGCGTCTTTGCTGGTTTATCATGCAGATGGCTTCCTTTCTGTTATACCTATCAAATGTTGAAGCAGGAGGAGAAACAATGTTCCCTTATGAGGTGGATTAGGAAACTAATTACTGTCACTCTCCCTTATACATTATACTGTGAAATCTTAAAGTGTAAGCAGTCATTTAAGTATTCAAATTTGCAGGGTGGTTTGCATATTGATACGGATTATGATTATCGAAAATGCATTGGTTTGAAGGTTAAGCCACGACAGGGCGATGGACTTTTATTTTATTCACTGTTACCAAACGGGAAAATTGATAAGGTACTCTTTCATTTTCAGATATATGAATATGATTGACGTTACTTTTACAGTACACATGAACAGAGAAATTTTCATTAAGCAAAAAGGGAAATGAAATACATGTAAAAACTTAGAAATGTAGTAATTTCAGAACTTGGTGAAAAGTGGTGATTTTGTTTGTCAAACCCACTTCTGGTTTTCTGAATATTTCTGCAGACTTCTCTTCATGGAAGTTGTCCAGTGATTAAGGGAGAGAAATGGGTGGCAACAAAGTGGATTGATGATGAAGAGCAATAGTACTACAGCAAAAATGATTTTAAACAACAATGAAATACTATGATCTAAAGAGTAAAAACCGTTGCATAAATTGTGAGTATAGAAATTCATCTTCTAAAATTTTGAATATTTGTATTTTAATATTTAATGAATATTATAATTTGGTAACACGAACAGTTATGTTACTTTTGAACAAATATAATTTTTGTACACTGAATTATCTTAGCTTTTTTTATTTGTGCAGTGTCTTTGTCATGACATGTTTCTTTCTGTAATACTACGTTGGTTTGAGCGTATTCTACTGTAGACAGATATTTGAGAAAATGAAAAAGCTAGATTTTTTTGTGTTCGTTTGAGATGACATGGGGGTGATGTTGTGGATGAAAAAGAGGGATCATTCATCTTCTCTCATCTCTCGTATCAGAAGAGATTTGAAGAATGAAGGTTAGTTTTATTATATTATTCCTACAGTTTTAGTAATAATAATATTAATAATGATAATAATTTTTATTTTTATAATAACTTTTACAATTATATATAATATTAATAATTATAATTTTATATTACTTTTATTACTACGAATATTTTAATAATCTTCCATTTTTACTAATTAAATATTTTTTTTTAAATAAATACATCCTAAATGTCCAAGTCCAAATATCATTAAGTGCGATAATAAATCAAATTTATATATTTTATTATTATTTTTTTTAGACTTTAATAGTTTTAATTGAAATTCACTTTTATAAGATCAGGAACCGAAAACACCCATTTGATTTTATTTAATAAAGATTTCCACGATGTTATAATTCAAGTTGCTAACACAGATTTCAGGATGTTATAAACTAAAAACAATATTTTCGAAACCTAAAAAACATTTAAGCTGCAAACAAATTAAAAATGGACCAAAATAAAATATCAATAAGGATTACTATTTGGAGAAACCCGTTGGGTTGAAGAAAAAGAAAGATTAAAAAGAGTTGAAGAAGACGATAAGATTAAAAAGAAATAGAATACGTAAAATGAGAAGAGATATACTTTAATTATAATTCAATATAAAAGCTAGCGTGGGATTTATAATTAGCAATAAATTGATTTTACTTTTAGTTAAGGCAAAATAATAAATTTAATAAGGCAAAATAATAAATTTAATAAATAACAAATTTAATTAAAATATATTTTAATTTATAATTTTAGTATCATGTAGATTTCAAATTTAATTTAATCTTATAAAATTATATTATAAATAATATTTGTATCCAATTATATATGATGATTTTATGACTATTTGTAAAATTTTCAATGTAAAGAAAGAAAAAAAAATGCATAGATCATAAACAACTTGATAAAAAAATGAAAGAGTTTAAGAGAAGATGAAGGTAAAACTAAAAAGGAATTATCATAGAAATAACGTACAAATATAACTTTACTTAGTATTCTTATTATGCACCTTTTGTTTTTTGAACTGCATAGCAATGCTTAGCGTTGCAATTTCTGATAATTAAAATTCTTTCTTTTACTCAATTTTGATTTACTTTTATGTTCATTTTCAATAAAAAAAATTATGAAATTGTTTTAAGTTTAAAATGAATACTCTTCTTCTCTCGTCTTCATTGATGTTCGCCAATATTCATTATATTATTTTTTAAATTACTTTTCATATTTTTGTATGAATATAAATAAATAAATTTTAATTAAACTTAAATACTAATCTGGTTTTTATTTTTTTGAGTTTATTCAATTAGATTTAATTGATTATAACTTTTGTCATTTATTTTTCTGTCGTTTAAATAATTAATCAACAATTAATTATGTCTTCACGTTGGTGATTTTTTTAGTTTTTTTAATAAATAAATGTTTTTAATTTTTTTAATTTAAATAAAATGTTTATGTGTCAAATCAATATTGCAGGTGACATTTGTAAGTTTTTATATTCGTTATTTTTGTTTAATTTATTTTTATTTTAAATAAAATTTTCTTGTCTTTCTACAAATTGAGATTAATTTAATTTTTATATAATTATTATATTGATAGTTTTATTAAAATCCACATTTTAATTGAATATTTTTAATTTATGATTGGAGTTGGATTTAAATTAGAATTAAAAATTTTAAAATAAGGAGTAGAATTAAAATGAAAATTCAAAAACAGGGAACAACACATCTGATACCAAAACGTAACACTCATTCAGCATGTTATTAAAAACTTAAAAAGAATTTGCTCATATTTTAAACGTAGCTATTTTACATCATAAAATAAAATTATAATATTTATTTATTTCATTTTTGAAGAATTAAAATTTATTTCAAATGATAAAAACATTTAAAAATAGTCAATAATTGAAATTTATTCAAAATACATCCGAAATAAAAGAAAATGTATTTCCAAAGTAATATTCAAGTTCTTAACTATTGTGCATATGAACCATTATATACAACATTATATGATCATGTATAACCACAACTACGAACCTGTAAAAGTGAGATAACTTAAAAGAAAACATAATAATTAAACTTATGATAATAACACGTCATGTAAACATGGTCCAACATGTTCAATCATCAATGTTATATACAAGAGATTTAAAAAGGTTTTTTAAGAAACAAAAACATAGCGCTGAGAAAATAAATGTTTAATATTTTATGATTATTACAAGGATCATCCAAAATATCTTAAGAGTATTTAAGGTTTTAAGAGTGAGAGTGAAACTCATCGATATATACAGTATGTGAGTGAGTGTTACGAGTGGAGTATATGTTATTATTATGATTGTGATGACATGTCAATGTGTGTTTGTTTGAAAACATAAATGTATCTTTATGTATGGTGACTATAGGAAAGATGGTGAAGGATAACTCCAATTGTACAATATGTATACTTAGTTCTCTAGAGAGTAATAAAAAGTGATATACATATACTTTGTGGGGACTCTCAACAAGAATAATAGTCAATCAACTGCTTTTTAAAGGTATCAGTCCTTGTTTTTTAATTTTACGTCTTAATTTTAAACCTTGTAATTGTAAACTAAAAATAATTAATAAAATGTGAATTTTAATAAAAATATCAATATAATATTTATATAAAAATTAAATTTAGTTTTAAGTTAAAAAAATGATAAAATTACTTAGTTTTAAAAAATTGAAAAAAATATAAAAATCAAATTAAATATAAAATATTAACCTTATATTACTAGTTTTAACACATGACATGATTTCACCTATAAATATATTTTTTTAAAATTAAACAAAAATGGATACAAATAAAGATGTCAAAACGGATAATCCGGCTCAATTCGACTCGGCTCACCACGGGTTGGTCACTTTAGTGAGCCAACCCAACCCGACTTACTTATTAGCGAGCTGACAAAATTCGAATCCGGTTCTACCCACCACAGATTGATGGGTTAAATAAGCGTCACACTAAAATGATGTTAAACTCCAAAGACAATTCAAAGTAAATAAATAAAAGTATCATATCATTCAAGGGTAATAAAAAAAACATGTACAAAAGGCAAACAAATAAGTTTTTAATATTGATAATTTTTGTATCACTTGTCCATTTATAATATTAGACTCTTAAATAGATAAATCTATAATGCTTTTCTCTATTGAAACATTTTCTTCTTTATCACCATCTACAATATAATAAAAAAAATGCTAACTAATAATATTGAAACAAAAAATAAAAAATAATTAAATTAAATTAGGTGGATTGGTGAGCTAACCCGGCTCACCGCACCACAGGTTCAACCCGGTGAACCGAGTTTTAAGTGAACTGGGTTAAAAACTAACCTGCATAAAAGAATTACATTTTTGTCAAACCTAACCCGACTCAAACCCGTGGTGAGACGAGTTAGTTCGTGAGTTATAACCCATTTTCACAACGCTAGATACAAATATCATTAAGTGTATGTGAATTATTTAAACAATCTTAATAAAAAAATGAAAATCAAATTAAATTGAAAAAATTAAAATTAAATTAAAATAAATATTAAAACTAATTTAAATAAATTTAATAAAAATAGAAATTATATTAATATTTAAGTTTTTTAATTAATAGAAATAAGGAAAAAAAGAGAATGGAGAGGACAAAGAAAGAGTGAGTGAGCTAAACGCAATGTCGTGCAGAGTGGGGAGAAGAAGTCTGTACACAGAAATATGAAGAGATCGAGCGTGTGTCACGCGCTACGTCGTCGTATGGAAGAGAAAGATAGAGTGAGGGACGCGTGTGGGCAAGGAAGCAAAACAATAGAAAAAAGAAATAAGAAAAAGAGAAAGTGGCAATAAGACGCGCCGTGAGTGCAGAGTGAAAGACGAGCGAGTGAACCAAGCGAGTTGAGTTGCCCTCCGATCCCATCCACAATTCAACTGTTTCCCCCAAATTTCAAAACCCTAGCTTTCCCACTCGCGCTTTTACCCACTCGCGCCTCGTGATCTCCCGCTCTTTAAGGTTTTCCCTTCTCCCTCTTCCCTTCTGCTTACCCGCTCCTCTTTTCAATTTTCTGTGATTTTTTCTACCAAAGGAATATTTTTTATGCTTTCTCAATGCTCACGTACTGAACCTACTTGCTCAAACACCATCTGGGTTTTCTAATTCCATTCACTTCACGCACATTTCTCACGTAAAAGTTCTAAATTCACTGAAAAAATATATACTTGTAGTCTAAGAAAAGTAGAGCCATTTTAGCTGGAACCCAAACCCACAAGTTTGGGTAAAATGTGATTTCTTAATGAAGAGCTGGAAACTGCGTTTGCTCACTCAGTTGTCACTATCAAACTCTACTCACTCAATGCGTCGTTTGCTTTTTGTTGAATGATCATTCTGTGCTCACTGATAAACAAGTTTTTAGCTACAGCAGTAGCTTGCTTATCTTCTTGTTTTATCTATTTTCCTACGGCAGCATGCTTTCTTTGAATTTAGTGTTACTGTTTCTGTAGTTTGGATTGTTCATTTAGTTGTGACTTTCTTGGCGTTGTTGATTAGTTTCAACTCTTGTTCTCTGGTATCATTGGGTTGGGATTTAATGTAATGGCCCTCTGCGTGATTAACAATGTTTGAATTTCTACTGGAAGGGGGTGTTCACACTGAGTATTTCATGATATCTAAAATAGTAATGTTTCTGAAGGGGGGTACAAAATGCTTGTTGGAAACCAAAAAACAATTTCTTGTTCTCTGATTTTGCACACTTCTTG